CACAACCCACAACCCACAACCCACAACGCACAACGCACAACGCACAACGCACAACGCACAACGCGCAACGCACAACGCACAACGCACAACGCACAACGCACAACAACACACACCACACACCACACACCACACACCACACACCACACACCACACACCACACACCACACACCACACACCACACACCACACACTACACACCACACACCACAAAGACCACACCACACACTACACACCACACACCACAAAGACCACACCACACACCACACACACACCACACCACACACACCACACACACCACACACCCACACACACCCACACACACCCACACACACCCACACACACCCACACGCACCCACACACACCCACACACACCCACACACACCCACACACACCCACGCACACCCAAACACACCCACACACACCCACACACACACCCCCACACACACCCACACACACACCCACACACACCCCCACACACCCCCCACACACACCCACACACACACCCACACACACCCACACACACCCACACACACACCCACACACACCCACACACACCCACACACACCCACACACACCCACAACCCACACACACCCACACACACCCACACACACCCACACCACCCACCCACACCCACACCCACACCCACACCCACACCCACACCCACACACACACAAATACACACACACAAATACACACACAAATACACACACAAATACACACACAAATACACACACAAATACACACAAATGCACGCACAAATACACACACAAATACACACACAAATGCACACACAAATGCACACACAAATGCACACACAAATGCACACACAAATGCACACACAAATGCACACAAGTGCACACAGACACACACACACACACACACACACACACACACACACACACACACACACACACACACACACACACACACACACACACACACACACACACACACACACACACACACACAACACACACACACACACACACACACACACACACACACACACACACACACACACACACACACACACACACACACACACACACACACACACACACACACACACACACACACACACACACACACACACACACACACACACACACACACACACACACACACACACACACACACACACACACACACACACACACACACACACACACACACACACACACACACACACACACACACACACACACACACACACACACACACACACACACACACACACACACACACACACACACACACCTCTGCACGCGCACACACACACATTGGTGTGGTTGACAGCACCATTGGCATGCTTAAATTCTCATTTTGCCGGGCTCCTTTGTGGAAAGCGTGTCAGACTGCCCTGTGAGGCCAATGCTGCAGCGTTGCTTCGCCGCTGCTGTGTAGGACGGGCCGTGATTGAGCGGTTGGTGCGCGAGTAGCTTTCGAGCACGCTTCTGAGGAACTGGACACGCTTGCATGTACTGGCTATATCAGCAGTTTTATCAACTTGCATTCACTGCAAATATTTACGCCAGAGGGTCAGGTTAGCTTTTCTTGCTGCTCTGCACGTGCTTGTTTGGGCGATCGGGTATTTGCAAAGAGTTCGGCATAGCTGAGCTAGACAGCTACCTTGGTGTCTCCCCAAGATAGACCCAGCGCTGCATTCAGACTACGTGGTTTGGTGTATGTATGGCCTTCTGGAGTTGCGATCGAACCCTATAGCGTTGGGGACTCGCATTTCTTGGACGCGCAAAATGCAGAACGGGAGTGATGGCTACCGGCTGTTGACATGGCTCAGTTCGCCATGTAATCGCATGTCCTACTTGCATTCTGGAGCCCTGCCTGGGTATGAGTCGATGATTTGTTTGCCCTTGTCCACTGCCACAGCGATGCAGTTAGGGTCTCTTGTTCACGACAAGTATGCAACGTGTTGTACAGCATTGTTGACCTGCATTTGCCGAGGGCTAGACAACGCACCATGCATTGTGTTATTGCACTGCTATGAACTAACAGATGTGTTTGAAGAAGCGCCAATTGGCGCCATTTGGGAGTCAGAACAATTCTTATGTCCTTGCAGAGGACCCAGCATTTTGTTCACGTCAGATGGCACTACTGCAAACTAGTGAGACTTCTGCCTAATGCGTGCTGCGGGTCTGTGGAGTGGTCTGCAATACTGTGGGTGGACGAAATCCTGCACCACTTTGAAACCATGGGAACCCCGTTGTTTGTTGGCATTTGCAGGGGAATCTTCATTCCAGGGCTTCTTAGGCGGTGCAGAATTTCGTTCATCCACAGAGATATGTTGATTATTCAGGCTCAACGGATGGCCCCAGTTGCGGTGGCTGCATCCCTTGGCGTGCAGGCACTGCGCTGGTGCCCAACCTCTTCCAGCGCATTCCTGATGACCAGGCGGGCCTCGAGTGATTTGGCCATGGGGCACAACCTATGTCCCATTTTGGGTGGATGAACATCCATTTGCCACTTATTTTGATGTTCACCAGGGGTACAGGGTTTTGACCCACAGCCATTTGGCTTCTCCTGGTCAGCTGAGAGGCCGGAATCAATTTGAAAGGTCTGAGAGCTTGCCACTATTTGCCGCGTGCAAGTGGAAAGCTGCGCACATTCGTCTCCCCGCACTTTGCACCTGAACAGATTGCCTCCTTGGGTCGGGAGATTGCTCAAACGAGACGCATATCTTATCGGCCTCTGCCTGACTCGCCCGCCAGGAACAGCTTGCAGCCTTGGTTGAAAGGCGCACAGTCGCCTTTTTGCTTCTTTCTCTCGGATGCCCGACGTTTTTGCCACATGGATGAAGTGCAACGAAAATCACTCGCCGTGCTAGGATTTGAGCAATGAAGTATGTGCATCCACCCCATGACAAAAGCAAACCAATATTTAGGCCGAGCCTAGGCAAGTCTCAGCCGCGTCCGTGAAGCACGGCCAGGGTTTGCTCCGGGCTGCGCACGGCGGAAGACTTCCTCCGGCGTTCGGGACGCAGATGCTTTTGTGGGAACCAAAGGGCACATGTGTCATGGCGAAAAGACCTCCTAGGGTCGGGGATGGTCATCAAGCCCTTGGGCACACACTTCTCACCACTTGGCACGAGATTTGGGCCGTGGCTTCGATTTCAGCTGAACCTGGCAGACGGAGAGCCTTGAGGGAATTCGGCCCATACGATTCTTTTTTTTTTTTTTTTTTTTTTTTTTTTTTTTAAATATTCAGATGTTTCGTGGTTTGCAGCATTGCCAATGTTTGCTCAGTCACGCACGGACACAAGAAACCTCAGCAACGCCAGGAGCCAGCCCCTCACAACCTGTACCCTGCAAGCCCAAACCGCCATATCAACAAAGCGGCGTCAAATAGCCCAGACCACACTCTTTCCAAGGAGCCCGCACTTGGGCAACGACTCTCTAACAATGGTTTTTGCTTTTCTTCTTGTGCCACGAATGATTTCTTCTGCATTCCCAGCAGTGTTTTTGATATTGCCAGCACACAGCGTACTTGTGGTGCATGTCAAGCTTGTGTCTGTCAGTCAGATTTGTGGTCGATGTTTAACACATTCCCAGCATATTCCTTGCAAATGTCTAGCATAATATCTCCACGTACTGTTTGCAGCCCTTTCTAGCAAGATTCTAGCGTGTGTCCATGATATGTCCACAAATTCTGAAGTTTTATAATATTAGAATAATAGAACGATATATATATATATATATATATATATGTGCGGCACACATGTAGCATATTTCCAGCCGATTTCAGGCATCAGTCTCGCGCATTGTCTAGTATATGCCCAGCATTGTCCAAACGTTTCTCTACAATCTGATTTGTTCTGCACCTGTCTAAATAGAGTTTCTAGCATTTGGCTAGCAGGTGTCTAGCATATTAGTTTTCGCGCCTATCCTGGATACTTGGCTGTGTCTAGCAAGTATCTTGTATGCGCTTACTGCGCGGCACTTGTGTTTCTAGTAGTTTCTAGCCTACTTCTTGCAACTGTATTGCACATACCGTTTATGTGTGCTAGAAACTTTCCAGCATCTTGCAGCATGTGCCTGCCTTATCGTAGCAGATGTCCGGAATAGCACGACATGCATTTCAGTTTTGCATATCTAGCAAACTCCCACATATTTTTAGCACAGTTCGAGGAAATTCCCAGCATATGTCTAGCATACTTCCAAGATTTGTCGAGCGCAGTCTTCCGCACGTTTGCTTTTTGCATTTTCTTGCAGACATTGTGACACACTATCGTATGTTTGCTGCAGTTACAACAGGCACATACCCACACAGGATGTCATTTTAGTGCATGCGAACTGGCCTCCGGTGGATTCACAGGCGGTGGCCTCAAAGCTTGCATCGCCTTGAGGTCAGCACTGGGATCCCAGCGACCCTGGCTTGGACCCAGCACTCAGGAGGCCGAGAGAAGCCCATCCAGGGGAGGGGGGGGCCGCTTTGAGACGAGGTCAGCATGATCCATCCAGAAGTTCGGATCACCTTAGTGCATATCTTGGAGCTTCCATGGGTGCCGACTCTGCAAAAGAGTACCAGCGTCCTCCTTGTCAACCTTGGCTGCCAGTCCGTCCACTTCTGTTGCATGCTTGAGCGCCGTTGAAACCTTTTCGGTTGATATAAGAAGATCTTTCAAATCAGCTAGACAGGTCAGCTGATGCAGTGCAGCGTTATATTTTGTTGGCAGCTTTTGTCCGACCACCACCCTCCTGATATCGTGGCGATTTACGACGACGCACGCAAGCAGCAACAAGAAAGGGCGAGCCAGCCAGCCAAGCAACCAGCCAGCCATCCAACCTTATCTTGGGAATAAAGAACGGCTTCCATGTTAAAGGGGCCGCTTGAGGCAACTGCTCTCCTTCCAAGACATCCACAGCTTTGGTCATCGCTCCCATCGCTCCCCTCGCCTCCCCTCGCCTCCCTCGCCAGCCTCGTGGCCACCGCCGACCTGCGGAGCCAGTGGCAGAAGATCCGCGCCCAGGCGCGCTTGCGCGCGCGCGCTTCTTCTCGCTTTTTCCCCGGGGAAGGTGCGGCGCCCGGGGAAAAAAAGGAACAAAAGCTGGGCGCGGTTTGGGGAGAACTTGCGTTACATGGATTTGGAGGATGAAGGTTGGCAAATGGGAATCCCAAGTCATAAATGGGTGCAGCCGCCGGTTTTGTTCTTTACATGGATTTGGGTAGACCATGACAAACACCAGGTTTTTATTGTGACTGAGGATGGGTTTTATAGCGGGAAGCCAAAGAATTCGAAGCATTTTGAGGGTTTCGGGACACTGGACGCCCAGGATACAGCTGGATGGTCTCACGTTGGTTTCCCTAGCTGAGTCCCTGGCTTGGCCTGGCCAGTTGAATGGCTTGATTGGGTTGGGATGGGCGTGGCGGGGGCTCACCGACATTTACAGTTTCGCAGCAAGCCGCGAAGTTTCAGCTCCATGTTCTTGCAGGAGCCTTTTAATTTTCTTTTTCGCCTGGTCACTAGCCGTTTTGCGGTAGATGAACTGAGGCAGTGTCCAAAAGCTGTGGCCATGGCGATGCAGTAAGATAGGGCATGCCCAAGGCAAAGCCAAGCCGCCGCCTGCCGGCCGGCTCTGGTGCCAAGGCTGCTGCGGCACGAGGTGCCAAAGCCAAAGCTAAGCCCTTGGCGCCCCCGGCGTCGCCGGAGGAGAAGGCGGCGCGGAGGCTGCAGGCGCTGGCGCGAGGCTTCCTGGGGCGTCGCCTGGCTTCGCGGAAGCGGTGCGAGCGGCGGCAACTTGCGGAGGCCGTGCGGTGCGCCGAGGTGGCCGCACTGAAAGCGGAGAAGCGCCGGGCGGAGGCCCAGCGCGGCAAGGAGGAGGAGAAGCGGCGCAGGGCGCAGAAGCTGGTGGCGGACACCCGGCTTCTGCTGGAAGCCTCCTTCGAGGGCCAGGAGCAGAAGGTGCAACAACTGCTGGAGAGCCTCCCGGTGGACGCGGCGGCGCCCTCCGGCGCCACGGCTTTATCGGAGGCGGCGGCCGCGGGCAAAGGCCCCGTGGTGCAACTGCTGCTGCAGCGCAAGGCCAACCCCAACAGCCGCGGGGAGTTCCAGCGGACGCCGCTGTGGCGGGCCTCGTACAGCGGACGTTTGGAGCTAGTGCCGCTGCTTCTGGAAGCTGGTGCCGACCCGCGGCTGCGCGATGATGACGCCCAGACCCCTGCAGATGTCTGTGGCACGGAGGACCTTGTGTCAGTCTTTGCCTCCTGGGATCTTGCTCGCACGGATGAGCTGCTGGAGGACTTCAAGGACTGGCTGGAGGAGCAGCGGAGTGCCGAGCAGCAGCGCCACCTTGCGGCCACGCAGGGCCTGGAGCGCCGCTACGAGGCTTCCTGGAAGAGGCACCAGGCCGCGCAGATGATGCTGGCGAAAGCAAAGATGCAGATGCGAAGCAGGGAGAAGGAGTGGGGCGCAAAGCTTGCAGCTGGCCACAAGGACGCCTTGGACGCCTGTGCCTCTGCTGATGCCGCGCTACGGGAGGCTGAGGAGGCGGCAGAGGAGGCACGCAGGGACTTCGAGGAGGCTGCCTTGGCACGCCTTGATGCCATGGGGGATGGAGTCCTCCCTGGCCGTGACGTGCCGGTGAAGGCGCTGAACGACGTGCTCATCAAGGACTTGGGGGGCCGGATCGCAGGGAGCAACAGGTGGCCGCTGGTGGTGGATGCTGGGGAGATCGCTCAGAAGCTCCTCCAGTACTCCGGCAACGCGTTGCTGAGTTTCTTCGGCGACGTGGCGCCGGAGCGCCTGCGCCTGGGGCTGCTCACCATGCTCCGCGCAGGAGGCATCCTGGCGCTGGACTTGCAATCTTTCGGCGCGGGCGTCAGCCTGGAGCTGCTGAAAATGCCCTTTGAGGAGCTGCAGAAAGGGCTCTTCCAGCACCTTTGTAGTCGCCAGCTGCTGAAGGCAACGGGCGGCCGGCCAGCCTTCTTCGACTTGATCACCAAGGAGGAACGGAAGGAGAAGTTCCCGCCCCAGGTTTTTGATGAGCAGCGTCTGGCCAGCTTCAAATTCCTGGTGGTCACGTCCACCGACCTCCCACACGAAGAGCTGATGGAGCACTTTGACCTCATCCGCGTGCTGCCAGCTTGAGCGGCAGCATGGCAGCAGTGCGCTGGATCCCAGTTGCCACATGCTAGGCCTTGTGGGAACTGGGGCGTGGGAGAAAAAGTACTACAGCACTTTCTGGAGTGGCCGTTATTTGGATACTGCCGTCGATATGTCCGGAGCTGCCTGTTGGACAGTCGTGAGAGAAAGCAACTCATCGATTTGCTCGACCACACGGAGACTGTTGTAGCGCAGCGTGTAACACAGTTTGTGAATTTACTTGGAATCGTTTGCCTCAGTGCGAGCAGCGATGAGAAATGATTTGCTGGATGGTGGTAAGCTACCCGGGCATGTTTTTCCAATTCGGCAATGATGCAAAGTGTTGAGCTTGCTTGCAAGACTGGTACGCCTGAAATATCAACCCGAGTTTCTCGGCCTTTTTTTCACCTGGAAATCCTGGAGCTCGCACTCCGGCAAACCGATCCCTGAGCAGGCGGGCGCTTCGCGAGGTTTCATGTGACCACTGCCTCCCGCTACATGTCGCGGCCGGCCAGGCGATCAGCTCGAAGAAAGGCGCGCTCTGTCCAGCTCCGCCGGTCCGTTGCAGTAGTGGAGACAGGGACGGGATGCGAAAGGCGGCGGGTTGGTTGGATATTTCAAAGCAAAACCGGTGGCCACAGGCAAGCTTGCAGCATTGCTGGTCAAAAGGCGATGCAAGAACGGTTTCTTGCAGAAAGTCCAGTGGCTTCTTTGTGTCGCAACTTTGCGCGCCTGCATTTCTGGCCGAAGTCAGCTGCTGATACGAGCGGGTCGCGGCAGGCCCCAGAATCTCCGAAAACCTGCTGAATACTCAAGCAATGATTTCAGTCAACTTGGATTACGGGAAACGGAAGGATGTAGCGCCTGACTC